TTGTGTTCTACGCTATTATATCTGTAATAGTCCAGTCATTTAAGCTTAAATTAGGTAAGAATCTCGGAACTGGAGATACCCAGCTGTAAGTCTGTAAATATTTGTATATTGACACGCTAAAAGTTATCTCAAAACCTACATATGGCAGGGTGTACGCAACTATTAAATTTCAAGGTCAAATGTCACAAAAATCGGTTTTTTTGCGCTTTTTTGTAAATATCTCATTTTTTATGGGTTTTTTTGCTATTTGTATTTATTATCAATATTGTAGAATACAAAATTCTCTACAAATTTTGTTTAAAAAAATTCAGATTAGAGTAAGAACGTAAAAGCTATGGAGCAGCAGAGAAGATGAAACAATAGTTGTACCAGTTACTCAAGAAAAATTCTTATCAAATCGAAATAACAAAGATATGCTCATTAATATGTTAATTGAAAAATTACAAGCTGCAAATATTACTACTAAACAAGCCAGAGATAATGCTGATGTTCTTATTGTTGAAACTGCAATTGAAGAATCAAATTCTGAAAAAACTGCAGTTATAATAGGACAAGATATTGATTTACTTGTCATTTTAATTGGGCGTACACTGTCTTACGAACAAGACATTTTCTTTAAAAAAGTTGGGAAAGGAAATGTAAAAACGGGGATATACTTGACTAAAAGTTTTGATAATTATCCTCATTCCAAAACACATATTTTATTTCTGCACGCATTAAGTGGCTGTGACACAACTTCTGCGCTTTTTAAAAAGGGAAAAAATCATTTTTTAAAGTTTTTGAGAAACTGACAAATTTGAATGAACTAGCTGCAGCATTTGAGAAAGAAAATTGTTCGGCCCAGAGATTATTAGAGAGTGGAACTCAAATCTTATTGGCAGTCTATAATGCTCCGAAATCTGTGAAAAGTCTCGATCATCTTCGTTATATGCATTACGTCAAGTCTACAAAACTTAATTAACCTGTGCAGCTTTCAAATATTCCACCAACAAAAGCAGCTGCTCATCAACCTTTCAAACGTGTATATTATTAAGTTCAAACTTGGTTAAGGCATGATTTGGAACCCCAGGTATGGAGTTGGGCAAATCGAAACGATTTTCTGGAGCCTATCATGACAATTTTACCACCTGCTCCAGAACATTTGCTAAATACAATTTTCTGCAACTGCAAGAGTGGTTGTGGTTCGCGATGCGGATGCAGGAAAGCGGGCTTGCAATGCTCTTTAGCTTGTGGCCAATGTAATGGTCAAGCTTGTCTCAATGCTCTTCCATATCAGAGCGACATTAACGAAGATGGAACCTTTGACCCCGAAATCATAGAAGAACTTGAGAGAAATGTCGTTGAAGACGATAATGAAGACCAGTTTGAAATTTACCAGCAGCCGGAAGACGACGATGAAGAGGAAGAAGATTATTAAAATTATAAATTGTAGTTTTTGTACCTTTTATTCCATTTTTTTACTTTTAATAAAAATAAATGTATTGAATGAATTTTTTTAATAAAAAGATTAATTCATAATTTATTTGTTTTTTTTTATCATGTAAGAATTTATTAATATTAATTAGGTTAAAATTCAAATATAATTCCTATATTTTCATTAACAATTTTGCAATTACATGGGCAGGTAAGTGTTGTTAAATAAATTAATACTAAATAAAAAGTGGATAGGTTAGGAAAAAAAATGATAAAATATAATATAATAGTTAATAAAAATTGACAAATATTTATAATCATTGATTTATCGATATTTCATCAACTATATATGGCGCGTTTTCGACCGGAGGCACCGGTTGACCTGAAGTGATGCTGTGACCGCGCGCTCTCCGTCATCTATCTCGAAAACGGTTCACCGTATGAAAAATTTTTTTAAACAAAATTTTTAGAGAATTTTGTATTCTACAATATTGATAATAAATGCAAATAGCAAAAAACCCATAGGAAATGAGATATTTACAAAAAAAGCGCAAAAAACCGATTTTTGTGACCTTTGACCTTGAAATTTAATAGATGCGTACACCCTACCATATGTAGGTTTTGAGACAACTTTTAGGGTGTCAATATACAAGTATTTACAGACTTACAGCTGGGTATCTCGAATTCCGAGGTGAACTTACTATAATGATTGGACTATAACTATGACAAATAGGTATACGGAATATCTGCCTTATTTGAACGGGTTTTAAAAGGTAGTTCAAATAATGCTAAAATACACTATGTGTTGTATTTAAAATAAGACAGTTTTTTATGTTTAAAACTACTTGTAATAAATAAATATTTCTGATCAGTAATTATTTGAACTTAGAGCACAAAAGACTCTATACCTTGGAAAACATAATTTTTAAACACTCCATATTTTTAAAAACACTTGAATATAACAAAAATTATAGACACTAGGGATAACAAACCATTAAAAAAGTTTTTGTAAATTTCAAAAATGCCACAAAATACATGATGTCCTATTTTTTTGTTACATATCTCGTTTTCAAAACAGATTAAAAAAACAATTTGTTTTGGCTCTACAGAACGAGGCGTTACCGGTGAACCACTCTGTATAACTAACTATATACACTTTGTACAAAAAGTAACTTACTTACTCAGAAATATATCGGGTGTACCATTAGTGCAAAATAGAGCAAGGATATATTTTTTAAATAATATATTTTTTCAGTTTTTGGTACTGTTGCACTCAACATCCTGTATCTTTGAAACTAAAACGGCAAAAATAATTTTCTACTGGTTCAAATTTTTAAGTAAGTATGGTTGGTCAAGTTATTTTCCACTTTTTTGATGTCGCTTAATTTTGACATTTTTGCAATCATAGCAAGTGTCAAAATAAAGCTATTTATGTCACCAGTTACGGCAAGAAAGTTTTTAGGAGAAAATTTATATTTTTAAACTTGAAGCAATCTAATTTTTGAATATTTTAAAAATAAAATTAGCAGAAAATGTTCTCTCATAAATTAATTTTTGAAAACATAAGTGGCTTGAGACGGAGACCAAACAGTACTGCAATACTCTAAAACACTTCGGATTAAACATTGTACAAACATGTTATTGCTTTGGTGTCCTGGATATGCTTTGTGGTTCTTTTTATGAAACCTAATAGCCTAAACGTCCTCAGAATGATATTAACATGTAAAGAGAAGGATAATTCCCTGTCAAATATTACCCCTAAATCATTAAATGTAAAGACGCTCTCCAGATTGGTATTATTAATTACATATGTGTTTTCTATGGGGTTAGAACGTCTGTAAAATTTTATAACTTTACCTTTTGGAATGTTTAGTTGTAAATAGTTGGCACTGCACCAGAAGACGAAATAATCTAGATCAGACTGTAGGGCGTTGTGATTGGGTTCCACAATACTAAAAAATTTTAAATCGTCAGCACATGAAAGACAATGAGAATTTTTAAAACAGGACATTACATCGTTTATAAACAATAAAAATAAAATAGGGCCAATATGGGAACCCTGAGGTATACCCGAAGACACTGTCACTTCCCGCGACATAAAACCACTCACTGTAACATGCTGTCGACGGTTAATAAGATACGATTATACCAATTTCAGATAGTTTCTTTAAAAGCAACTGCTGACACACACTATCAAACGCCTTAGAGGGGTCGGTATTCATTGTGTCAACTTGGTAACTAGCTTCAACGGAAGAGGTAATAAACTCCTAATAAATAGCTGGATTAGTAGTTGTTGATCGACCTCTGTAGAAACCATGCTGCTCGTCTATTATGTAATTCTTAAACGTATAAAATACTTCATTTGTTAGGATTGATTCCAACAGCTTAGGAATTGTTGATAGCATAGAAATGCCACGATAATTTTTTATTAGTCAATCCCCGGATTTAAAAATTGGGACCAAGTTAGAATATTTCCATTTGGACAGGACATATCCTCTGTCGAATGATCTCTGGAAAATTGTGCACAAAGGTGCAGATAAAGCAGGGCACTTCTTGAGAAGGATAGGTGGTATTCCATCTGGACCAGAACCTTTGGAAGGATCGAGGTCCAACATTTTCTTCTTTATTTCATCTTTAAGGATATGAAATGACAGGTGCAAACCAAATTAAACGGCTTTCAGGTGGTTTAAGTCAAGAGTACTGTAGTTACTGTAGCAAGACTCAAAATGTTGTGCAAAGGCATCAGCAATAGATAAAGGTGTCATTAAAATATTATTATTGTATTTTATGATAGAAGGCATATGTTCTGTACGTTTTAGACTATTAATAAATGTCCAAAAATATTTCAAATTTTCCGGAATAATATGTTCAGTATTGCTAACAAAAGTAAGGTAACATAGCTCAATGCGATATTTTACCTTATGTCGAATGTCGGTCTATGTTTTGTAGTCTGAAGCATAGCCAGTCCTTTTAAATTTATTATATGCTCTATTTTTCCAAATTATAATCTTCTCGGAGGGCCGTCATACCATTTTGGATATTTTTGGTTTTTTATTTTTCTTTTAGGAACATATAAGTCAATGGCCTTAAACAGGTATTTATGAAACATATCCACCATTATATCGAGATCGACAGCATTGTATAAAAAGGACCAATTAGTTTGTTCCAAATATAAGTTAAGTAATATAAGCTTCGGCTCACAAATTACTTATTTCGATAAGCATGTGGAAAATTTATTATATTTTTGCAAATTTCAGTTCGGATCGTCCTGCAAATATTTACCCGTTATATAAAATAAGCCATAATGCAACTGGTTACATAAATAGTTATTAATTAATTAACTAATTAATTAAGTTAGGAGAATATAATTTTGAGTCAGCTGGTAGAAGAGTAAACCTTTATTTCTCACAGTTTTGAAGTAATTACTTCATCATCAGGCACATCTAAATGGATAATAATTATGGAGCCAAAGAATTAAATAAAAATGCACTATTCTTCTTATTTTTTTAATGGATCGTCATTTCACTTAAAAAAACAACTAACAAATTATAAAAAAAATTATTTTAAATTTCACTTTTCGATCATACCATGTACTGCCCCCTTGTGTACTTTCAAATTTCCTTTCCTAGAAAATTTCCTGTCGCAAACGTTGCATTTAAACTGCTTTTCTTTGTTACATTCATAATTGACGTGATTGATGACAGAAGGAGCGTTTTCATATTTTTTATTGCAGATTTTACAAACGTATGCCAATAGTCCGCCTAGTTCCATTTTGTGGTAGAAATTTCTAGCTAAAAATAAATAACAATAATACTTACTATTTACTGTTTCAATACCTACGAAACAAAATAAAAAATGGGTAGACTGAAAAGAAAACTTCAAAACATTTTTTAGCATTAAAGAGAAATCCGGACCTATAATTAAAAAATTGACCAATCCTAATAAAAATATTTACTATTAAATACAGTAAATAGTTTATATAGTTTCACGATAACCCTTCTATTAACTTAATAAAATTAAAAAAAAAAATACTTGTTATTTAGAAATTATTTAATTTGTGTTTTGTCTAACACGTTGACTGCGAAGCCGAATTTTAATAACATTTTAAATGTGCGACACATTCCGTATATAACATGTTATGATTTTTTATTTATGTGCGACATCTACCCATCATATTAGTAGGGAGTGCTGGGAGACATTTTTGGGTAGGTATTTAAGGCAAGCTGAAAACTGGTCCCATACCTCTTCTATAATACCCTAACACAGAACTGCAGACCTGGCTGGGGAGTAGTGGGGCTAAATCAACCCTTATATTTCCAACGAGAGGAATTTTTTTGCAAAAAATATCCTTGGGCCAATCTGAAATTTGTATACCTTTAAATTTAATATTTTGCAAGATTAAAATTTTGACAGGATATTATTTATAATTAAAAAAAAATTTAAAAAGATAGATCATTTCATTGAGTGAGTGGTGCTAGATAAAATGCAGTGTGAGAGAGCGTTTATTCGCGATTCAAGCTAAGTGATACGCCTTCTGGAGGAAATTTGCTGAAGTTCCCTATAAGTAGGATATCGTTCAGTGTTGCCAGAAGTAGCAAAATTTCGCTACGCCGTCGGATTTTAGTCCTTGAAGAAATGGATAAGACCTTTTATTTAAGAATCAAAATTTGTGTCTAGTAATATGTAATCATATTTATTTAAAGATTTTTTTATAAAACCGATTTATTATATTGATTTTTTTTAAATTTCAGTTCATTTATTAATTTTGTTTTAAAATCAGTTCATCATTTGGCAACATTGGCGTTCGTGTTCATTGTTTACATTTTAATTTGTATCAATTACAATTCGAGTTTTTTCTTACTTTTTAGCTTTAAATTTGTTTATTTCTTATAATATGTGATAGTGTTTATATTAAAAATGAAATCTGCGAAAAAGTCCCCTATATGGTGTTAATGTCAAAATCAAAACTGAAGTATTCATTATTGTCCAAGTGCAAGTCGTAAAATTTTGTTTTTTACGATAAATGGATATCTACAAATTCACAATATTGAAATTTTGCAAAACTTTGTTTAGAATCAAACTGTAATCTGATTTGTCAGGGTTTTATTACCATTTACATGTATACAAAGTACTACACAATTCACTTCATAATATAAGAATAAGGATAGTAAGATTTTTAAATAAATGCATCAATAATAAACGTTTGGTACCTGAAATGTCCTTTAAACCACACAATAAAACATGTCCTGGGTTTAGTAAATACATATTTCTAGATGTTCTTGTAGCAACCAATAGGTGAATATTTCCATCAAATTAAGTCATACACATGATAAATATTATATTTATGACGAAAGCACGAGAAATAAACTTAAATTAACACTAAATGAAACTCAAAAACACTATTACAATGAGAATATTATCTAAAAACAGTTAAAAAAATACAAAATCCGCCCAAAACAAACAAATGTAACTAAACAAACATCCTACTTATAGGTGACAAATGACAGGCGCGCGAAAATTATTTTCGCGAATAGACAGCTGTCTGCATTCTCGAACGCTGCGATACCATTGGCCCGGACAAGACCACGTGACTTACTCAAGCGGTTGTGAGTCGGAATTTTGGAGTAATGATTACATTTAAGCATGTATTTTTTGTGTATGTGTAGATGTTAAAGCTATTGTGTTGAGTTATACAAGTAAAATATATTATTATAATAATAATAATAGTAATATAGAACATATTTTGTATTGTCAATATTGAAATAAGTGAGCTTAACACTAAGAATGTCTTAAATTATTTATAAGCATTATAACTATATAAAAAAATTAAATTAATATACTACCTTTTGAAGGAGGAAAAAACATCAGATACTCTTAAAATATTTTTTTCTACGACCGTGTATTTTTACCCACTTTCCCGCACGCATTTTAGTTTTGAAAGTGTCACTTTCCCGCACTAGTGCGGGAAAGTGATTTTTATGAATATTTGGCCTTACCTATTGTATAGTTTTTTTACCTCGGATGTTATAACTATTGTTACAATAGGTAATTTAGTATTTTCCAACTATTCCATTTAATAAAATTTACTTTTTTTCTTGCTTTTTGTTATAATTTTAATTTTTTGGAAAACTTGAATAATAGAGATATTTTTAGATACCTTCTGTATATTTTTAAAAGTCAGACTAGGCTGTGACATGTATGGCTTGATATGGTTGCTATATGGTAACCAAGGCGTGTTATTGTTACAAAAACGTCAAAGTTGTTTGTTGAAGCGTCAACTGAATTAAAATAAATTAAAGAAATAATGTATTCATCGGATGAAGAGCTGCCCGAAGCCATTTTAAAAGCTGCAAATGAAGCACATTTGGAGGTGTTACCTGCCAAATCACGGCAATTTTACATAATTTACAAAATGCTACAAATTGTGTATTTAACATTAATATCCATAATAATTAGTTGTTTTTATTTAAAGATTTGTACATGTTGAAATAAAATAATTTTCCAAAAATAATTTTTCCTACTTTTTTGTATATACGGTCGTAGAAAAAATAATGTTCCTAACTCATGCGTAAAGTGTCTTTCCCGCACTTGACCGCTTGCCCGAACTCCGCTTCGCGTCGTTCGGGCCAACTGCAGTCGCGTGCGGGAAAGTAACACTTTCCGCACTTGTTAGGAAAATAACTATTTCATAAGTGCGAGAAAGTTTTTATAACAATGCGCATGATAACCGTCTTTGAGGTTAGGATTCGCTGGTAAAACAATGTCATTGTATTTTAATCCATATTTGTTCTTAATCTCTAACATTTCATGGCTTTTTTGAAATTTTATCAATAAAAACAATCACTTTCCTGTCGTGCTTTTTATAAATAACACACACTAACTTCTCACTAGACATTATTTCGGTTATAAAACGTGTTACACAGCTATCTAGCATTAAACAACTGAGAATAACTACTCCAAAATTCCAACTCAAACCGCATAGGTATAGTAAGTCACGTGTTCTTGCCCTGGCCAATGGTATCGCGGCATTCGAGCACGCAGACATCTGTCGATAAACGCTCTGGCTCACCTTGCAACTTACGTACTTACGTATGGTCTGTCTTTTTTAGAATATTTTTTTTTAATTATAAATAATATCCTGTTAAAAGTTCAACTTGTCTCAAATATATTTTTATTTTTTTTTACAAAATTGTTTTGCAAGCATCTGGCAAAGTTGAACACCCGACTAAATAATTTGACTTATTTATTTTTTACTCTTTAATATTAAATTTAAAGATATCAAAATGTCAGTTTGTCCCAAGGATATTTTTTGCAAAAAAATTCTAACTTTGGAAATATAAAGGTTGCTTTACTACTACTTCCCAGCCAGGTCTGCAATTCTGTGTTAGAATATAATATAATACGAGAGGTATAGGACAAGTTTTCAGGTTCAAATACATACCCAAAAATTTGTACCAGGTCTCGGACTATATGGACAACTTTTATCTAAACATGTTGCATATGAGGGTGTGTTTCTTATGTTAATTTCGCACATGCGCCTCTATAGGCATGTACCACACATATGCAAGGAGAAAAGAAATCAATTTTTTTTTTCATAAGTACGCCTTGTATTTCAAATAAATGTTCTATCTCTGTATCTGTAAGGTAGAGAGGGTGGGTTGCTCCACCATACTTAGGCATGATAAGACCCATTCTGCATTCTCCAACCTTTGTCGCTGGAGAATATCTAGGAATAGTTAGCCTCTCAGTTCAGGTTAATAACGTCGCCGAGGTGTCATTAGATGCCATATTTTTTGAGAAGTGGCCATTTGGTGGGCTTCTATCACCCCGATGGTAAATGCTCGTTTAAAGCCATTCTATCAGCCCGATCCACAAGGCACCCCAATTATAAAAATTGCACCATTTTTTCATCACATGAAGAAGTGATTTGAATGCATGTAGGTGTCTTTCCAAGGTTCCAAGGTTACTGGGCATGTACCAAACATGGCAAAGATAAATTAAAAAAAATGTTCAGACTCAGAAACTGGACTTACAAAAACCTTTATATATTTTGACCTTCTGAAATCGATATAGCCATAAAAATTTATTTTATCGTTGGTGTTTTTTTACCTTTGATTTCGGTATTAAAAATGCTGTGTTATTTTCGCAAGATTCACCAAAGACATTGACAATTTCGACATTATAGCAGCAACAATAGTAGACAGACAAAGCCACCATGGGGACACATAGGGAATTTAATGTGTAAGAGTGAGAGGTACAGATTTAGTAGGTAAGCGTGAGACAGAGTGAGAAGAAGCGGGGAAGTTGGGGGAGTGAGGGGAATTAAATCTCTTTAAACGTCGAACAGAAAAATGATGCGATTGCCAGAAGGGCCTAAGCGTGTATCTTTGTTATTGTTGGTCCGATTCAAACGGGAAAAACGGCATTATGTAGAGAACGTGATATATATAAACGTTAAAGAGAAAAAGCATGCGCAGAACGAACACCCAGAAGGGCCTTGGTGTGTTTATCGGATATTACTGGTCCAATTCAAACGGGAAAAACGACATTATGTAGATAACTCGGTATAGATTAACGTTGAAGAGAAAAATCGACATTTTGTTTAACGTTTCGTTTTACGTTTTCATTTAACGTTTTGGTTTGACATTTTCGTTCGACGTTTTCGTTTGACGTTTTCTTTTGACATTTTTGTTTGACTTTTTCGTTTGACGTTTCGCATAACGTTTTCGTTTGACGTTTGACATTTTGCATAACGTTTTCGTTTGTCGTTTTCGTTTGATGTTTTCATTTGACGTTTCGTACTTCAACTAAACTAACTACTACTACAGCCAGGTTGGTCGAGCGGTCTAACGTAAATCCATCCTCCGAATAGTCAGTATTGAGATGTCTAGCGAAGAGAATAGATGTAGAATTGAAGAGTTTGGTGTAAAACTTAGAGAACAAGTTTTAAGAGATTTAACAAATCTTTGGGATAAAGTCTTTGAGAGATATCATCCTAATCAGTATTCACTTAGAAGAATCCAACCGTCGCAACCATTTTAAAGGCTAATTTCATTATACTTACGGCTATATTAAACAACGTGCACTTCTTAGCAATTACAGATTTATTATAAAATATTGAAGAGTTGAAACGAAAGAAGCTATATTCGATTCATTTCTTCAGTTATCAGCGTGTAAACACTTGCAAACTTTGATTATATAAAATATTGTACACTTCAACATTTTTATCAGTTTTAGCTAAAGAGATGACGAAATAAAACCATTTAAAATACTACATTTATTTAAAACAAACGATGTACAGATAACAAATGGACTTTTAAATTGGAATTCCTTGAAAATTTCCTCCCACAAACGTCGCATTCAAATCTTCTTTCTATATTACATTCTTTAATGTGACTGTATATTGACGAGCAGCATCCATATTGTTTGTTACAGGTTTTGCAACTGTAAATCACTTTTCCATTTATCCGTTGCTTTAAATAAAGTTTTCTTTCTACAACTGAAATTAATAATTAAAATTTCATTCATTTTACCTTGACACTCCTATAATTAAATCATTGATGAAATAATAATTGTAATATCTCATAATTTGAAACGATTGATGTTCTATAGACACATCTAGAGACAATGAACAATTTTTGGTATTTTTTTCGAGAAATTCAGCAGTGATATTTCGTTTACATCATAATATCCCTGTAAAGAAGTCATAACTTAATCTATACTTCAATTACCACTATTTTTCCAAAAATTATCCCAATTATTTTGTTTGTTTCTTTTCTTTTCTTCCAATGGTTACCGATTTTGTTTCTATTGTTATTTCAATCAGGTTATCACCTTTTTCCAACATTACCCCTATTCTTTCATTTATTGTCCCTTTTTTAACTGTTGCCCCATTATGGTTTTCTTAACGTACTTAAAAGAGAGGCGGAAAATGATAAATAATTCACAGAACATGGAAAAAAAGCGACGTTTTCAAATTCTTTTAACTGTAGGAATGTCGTTAGATCTGGTTACCTTTTTCGCACTTTTATTGTGGAACTTCTTAAGGGGAACCGAAAGATCGAGCTGTTATAACATTTTTACAAAAATATTTTAAAAATAACACCCAGATATGCTTAACAGTTTTTATTTTCGTGAAATCCACAAAATAAATCACACTGGTATTGAAAACTTATCAATAATTATAACAAAAAATATTGCTTCTTCTTTTTTGAAATATATTTTTATCAAATATAAATCAATAATCACCTAATACGATATTTAAATTCTTGTAAACTTCATAAAATTAGTAGATATGTAATTCAGAATGTTTCTTTTTTATATGACTCCTTAAATTGTCCTGTCTCAAAGATCGAAGATCGCAAAAGGGACACTTGAAATTTTTAAATTTATTACATTCGAACTTTTGATGTCGCCACAAACCTCTTTGATATTGGTAACTTTTAAAACAATTCATGCACTGAAATCTGGCTGAAACCAAAAATAAAAATTATTGGAAATCTAACAATTTACATAAGAGGTATTTTACGGCAGAGACGGCAAATGTAAAATCCCCAGAATCTGAGGAAAAAGCAATGTTGCCGGGTTCATTTCACTATTCAAATAATTAAAATTTTATTAGATCTGACTACTTCTTTCGCGAAATCTACAAAATTAATTCTACATGGCTGTTGTAAGCGAAATTATATGTTTCTTGAATTGGAGAATCTGTATCTGTAACGTGTGAAGGGTGGGTTACCCCCACAGCACTTGGGCCTTATTAGGTCCATTGTGCATCCTCCTGAGATGATAGGAACCTCCTAACTCGTGAGCCAGTCTACAGATTTAATGTAGTTGACAACGTCGCCAAGAGGTGCTTTTCTTATATCGGCCGGTGTTAGCCGATACTCGCCGAACACAAATCTTCTAATAAATGAGAGTGTCGAGCAAACGTAAAAAATATGCTCGATGGTCTCATCTTTTTGTTCGCATCCTCTGCAGAGTGCGGATTCTGACAGCCCCATGATATGGAGATGCTTTAGTACTTGGCAATGACCAGTTAGAATGCCTGTGACTAGGCGCAGATTCTGTCTAGTCATAGTCAAGTATTTGTTTGCTGTTTCATCCCATCTTTCCTTGAATTTCACAAGGGAATGTTCTTTGAATAGGTCTGTCACTACCAGTTTTGTCAGCCCAATAGAAGAGCCAGGTCTAAAAAGTATTTGGTTGACTGCTTTCTTGGCTAGAATCAGCAAGACGGTTATCTTTCGATATGGCGTAACCTTTGATCCATCTTAAGGTGACCACATTGTTGATGGATACTTCTGCCAAAGCTTCGTGACATTCTAATACTAACCCTGAGTAAATTCTTGGTCTGTTCAGGGTGAGTAGTGCTTGTCTGCTATCTGTATAGATGAGCATGTTCCTTCCAGTGATATTGTTTCTGGTTATTTCTTTTGCTGATATGAGAATCTCCGTTAGATCTGTTTGAACTACTCTGGCACTATTACTCACAACCCATTTTATGTTAATGTTTAAGACTCTGGAGTATATTCCACATCCTGAGCCTTGTTTTGTTTTAGAACCGTCGGTGTAGATATGAATCGTACCTGCCACTTCCGGCTCTTCTATTTTTTTTATTATAACCTTATATGACTTATGGAAGATATATCTCGGTGAGATGGAGTCCATGTTCGTTTAAAGCAGTGGGAGCGTATCGAGCGCCTCCTGCTAAAAGCGACGTCTCGCCTCACCAGATCCTACATCAGGTTCTATTCCAACCGTGCGGAGGCGTATCATTGGCTGCGTTCATCCGCGCCATTTCAAGGAGCGCTACAAAAGTAGCGATCACTTACGCTACCTGATCGATCTTTATGCACGGATGAACCATGTTTAAAAGTGACATTTGATTTTGGTTTATTCATTTTACTTTTGAGTTGAATGTCTCTGGTTGAAGATTTGTTTGTTTATTTTTCAATTGCTAATATGCTAATATAACCCTACTAGTCACCAAGCAAACCGTGGACGTAAGTGCGTAAGACAGATCAGTGATCACCGATCAGACGTAAATAAAATGCGCTACTTTTAATGGCGGCTGCTCCTTGAGCGAAATGTCAAAATACACCGTTCATACGTGCCACTCGAGAGCGCTACCAGATCGATCAGGTAGCATGTGGCGCGGATGAAGGCAGCCATTGTCGTCGGAGCAACCTCTTGATGTAAATATCAAGGGGAGTGAGACTAAAAATGACTTCCATTTCTCTGGTAGGTGTTATTTTCATGGCTCCTGTTATGTTGAGACATGCTGTTCTTTGAATTTGTTCTAGTTTACGGATAGCTGTTAATTTTTGGATTTTCGGTACCCAGACAACTGCACCGTATATTAGCATAGGTCTTATGATAGCCCTGTAAGTCCATGCGACGACTCTGGGGGAGAAACCCCAAGTGCGCCCCTCGGTTTGCTGGCATTGTTCATAAGCAAAGTTTAGTTTTCTGTTTAGGAGTTCTGGAGGTTTTAATTCCATTTTCAGAAAAATATCACAAAAATCGTGATACCCCTAATTTTTTCAAAATTTTAAAATAATACTAAAAAAACGCTTCAATAGTTTTTTATTGTCACAAAATTTGCGAAAATTATAAAAAGATTGTATTATTGTCAAAGTCAAAATTATAAAGATTATTTTTATTTAGTAAAAAACTAAGAAAAATCATATTTATATGTCTAATAAATTTAAAAAGGGTTGAACGAACTAATAAATAAAATAATATATATGTAAAAAAAATAAATCATTAGCAAATAATAGATGTTTAACTTACAATACAATTATATCATAAATCTCCTGATTGCATAAATAATCTGTGAGTTATCAAACTTCCTGCTAAGCTATTTCCTATGTTGCTAAAAGTATAAAATATGTCCAACCAACTAAGTCAATATTAGCAAAATATAAATTAATACATTATATTTGTAGTATAATTATGTTTCCACTACTTCATATTCCTTTTAGTACCTACCTATAGCAGTTTAGATGTGGGAAATGTCGAGGTTTTCTTAATAATTCTTTTAAAATATTTTTGCCTTATATAATTACAAAACAATAGCATTAAATTAATTTACCTAAAGCCTTGTCTTAGATAATACCTGTATTAAAAAATTAAATAATCACAAAATTTTTATTCTAAATGTTTATTTTGTATATGACGCTTTAAATTGTCCTTTATATAGCAACAATGATTGCAATAGGGACACTTGAAACTTTTAGTTTTATTACATTCGAACTTTTGATGTCTCCACAAACCTCTTTGGTATTGATAACTTTTTAAACAATTCATGCATTGAAATCTATCTGAAACCAAAAATAAAAATTATTGGAAACAATTTCAGTAAATATTTATGATTTTATATTTATTTTAAATTGGAAATCTAATAATTACATAAATTTGTTTTAAAATAATGGAGGTATATTACGGTATAGGCGAAAGATGAAAAATTCCCAGATTCTGGGAAAAAGCATTGTTGCCGCGTTCATTTTACTATAACAAAAATTATGAAAATTTTATTAGATCTGTCTACTTTTTTCGTGAAGTCTAAAATAGTAGTTTATGCAACAATCCACTCGAGTTGCACAGTATATTTTTTCTACGACCCACTAACATAATTCTACAAATTATTTTAGATTACTAAAATAAAATAACTAATTTTATTACTTACTAATTTATAAAATAAAATAAACATAAACAAAAAATTAATTTAATTAGTCCCCGGCCAGATTCAAACCCGGGCCTCTCACGTGGAAGATAGATGTAACAACCAACTAGCCTAAAGGACTACCGCTTGTCACCAAATGTAACAACCAGCTAACCTAAAGAACCACCGCTTGTCACCAAATGTAACAACCAAGTAGCCTCAAGACCACTTGTAACTACTGATAGATTTTTAGCTACTGTTGGTAATATACTATTAAGGGATTTAGCCAAAGGATTCTGAAGTCCAGAAGTAACATCCATTCACCAGTGGCAAATAAAAATTAAAAAAAATTAAATTAAAAGAACAAAAATTAATTTTTAGACTCTTCTGGTCCCAAGGGAATAGAAACGCCGAGGTTTCTCAAATTCTCGGAATATCTCACTGGTTTTGGAAAGGGAGAGAGATTAATAATAAGTATTAAAACATTAACAAATGTATATTTAAAATAAGTACAAAATTTGACTAATAGTCTCAAGAATAAACGAATCAAATTATATTTAGGTAATAAAGCACTACTTGATAATAGATCCAAACTTTAAATAAAAATTTATAACAACTAGAAATAATATTTTATTGAATTAGTTTGGACTTATTAATAACTAAAAATAGCTCTGAAAACTTTAACTATATAAATAAAAAATATATAAAATAAATATAATACTCAGGAATGAAAATGTAAAATTGGCATTTATATGTAAAGTTCACAAATCGCCGCACAAAACTTTACTTCACACTAGGGTCCCGAAACAAGAGTTTTGGACTTCAGTCCTCACTCGGGTCTTTTTTCTTTCTCCTCTTTATCTTCATCTCCACCTCTATATTTAGGATTTTAATTTTAATAATTCGTAATTAAATTAGTTTCATTCAAATAAAAGGTTTTTATCAAAATGTGAACTAAATAAAAATGCTATTACTTATCGATTCTACACAAAAATACTTATTTAAATGTATATTTAATCTCAATAACTAAATTTTTAAAATAATAGTAGTAGATTTAATTTTTTTGCAGTGTTCCCACTACCTAGAATGGATATGAAATATATTCGTCCAGTTGAACGCAATGACATACTTTTTCACTATAAGATTACGACATATACACAATGACGATTATCATTGACCATTTTTGAAATAATAATGCCAACGATGAACATGCAAAGTACAAATTGTAGTTTCTGAAAACTAGATCTATCCCAAGTTGGAATTTCAAAAAAAAATATCGATAATTTGTATCGAAAGAATCCAGTTACTAGAGTAATAATACAATACTATGGCAAAGTAATGAGACACAGGAATTAAATTCTCACAGGAGTATTATAAAATGTTCCTTGCAAATTTTTATTATATCACAACATTCGTGATACCCCTAAATTTGAAAATAATACTAAAATAAGATTTTATAGTTTTTATTCTCACAAAATTCTGAAATATCATTGTGAAAATCACAATTATAATGTTTTCTTTAGCAAAACACTACGGATGAAAATCATATTTTTGTGACAAAATATTTGAACAAACCAATAAATAATAGCTATTTATGAAACCAGTTATGAAATGCCTTATTTTATGTAACGAGTGAATATTTGCGGGACGAGCAGAACAAGGTCCCGCAACATAAACAAATTATATAAAACGACATTTCGTAACATGTTACATATAATATTTTTCCAATGACTAGATTATTTTTAAAATTGTGTTTTGGTTAAAAATTACTGATATCTAGGCAATCAATATAACTTTTTTGTATTGTTAGTTGCATAAGCATCATTTTCACAAATAGAACACCATATTAATTATTTATTCTCAACGACTTGTAGTGTGTTTATATGACCTATTAAAATTATTTAGTTTTCAAAAAGTGGGTTATTTTGTTGTGTATTGTGTTTTAATTATTTTGTGCTGGTTTAAAATGGAAAATAAATCCCAAAACAACATTATTACTAGGTTGTAAGTTTAACCAAATTATACCTGTCCTTCTTTGATAATAATAACGTATATTAATTATTTTAAAACAAAAAAGGATTATTTTTATTTGTTTTCTTTTCGCAACTTATATAATTATTTTTTTCTAATTTTGACATAAAGTGACATGTTTTGTAATCGCAGCGTCAAAATGATCTACTTTACGCAACCAGTTTCAAAATGTAATTCATTATGTCATCAGTTGCAAAAAGAAAATAAATTAAAATAAATCTTTTTTAGTTTTAAAATCAATATTATACATTATTATTGAAATTTTATAACAAAAAAGGGCAGGTTGACTTATAAAAGTAAAATTTGGTTAATTTTACAACCTAGTAATAATGATGTTTTTGTCCTTATTTTCAAACATCACAAAATAAGTAAAACACAATACACGACAAAATAACCCACTTTCTTGAAATTTAAATAACTTTAACAAGCAATATATTCACACTACAATATGTCGTTGAGAATAAATTAATATTATTTTCTATTTATCAATAAAAGAATGAAGTTAGTCATAACAATACAAGAAAGTAGTAATATTGGTTGCCTAGATGTTAGTAATTTTTTATCAAAACGCAATTTTATAAATAATCTAGTCAAATTATTTCATAATAAAGCAATTTGTTTCTGTTTATCTTAAATTATTAAAATTATTTTTTTAATATTAGGGAGCCAGTGCGAAAACCAGATATATCTAAAATTTGATATTTTTACAAGGAAGGAAAAAACGTTCTTATAAAATGACCTTTTATAAACCTATATTTTAAAAGGTATATATTAACCTAAGAGTGCAAATGAAGTAAATCATAGTGAAGTGTTTTTTTTTTGTTATGTTTCAATCAGTGGTTTCAAAATTATAACAATAATAACTATGAAGATACTTTGTTTTTGTCTAGTAACTTTAGTAAAATATTTTTATTGGCAAACGAATGAAATAATGGAAATGCTACTGGATACAAAATATTAATACAATAAATAACTCTCAATACATTTTAAAGAAACATTCACAACAAACAAAACTTGAATTTGTAGTATCAATCTCACTGTATTTAGAATAGTTAGAATGTTCTTCATCTGCTTCTGCCACCTCTGCTTTCTGTTGTCTCTTCAGCACTTTCTGGCTGTGAATTTGACATGGTTTAAACGAGGTAAACACAATAAGTATCTTAAAGCTTTTTTTTTAATCATAACCTAACAATTTACTATTACACAGCAAAATATATAAAGTATCTCCAGGACCGCCGAGAGCCAGCTCGGGCCCCGGGACAATTTTCCAGGTCGGGCCCCGCGACAATTTTATGAAAAAAATTAAGCCCTTTCAATATCACATGTCATGTAAAAAAAGGTCTTCAAGCAAAAACTTCTACTCTTTAGTGAAATCTCTAAAAAAGAGGTCCTCTCTCTTGTGCTCAAAAAAAATAAAAGACGTCATGCTGCCGGGCCCCCCTTATGCCGCTGCCGGGCCCTCACTTAAGACCGGGCCCGGGAATTTGTGCCGGCTACCCCCCTCTCGTCGGCCCTGAGTATCTCCATAAGTTAGTACATTATAAATAACTATAGGAAGATATCTTATTCTTGCATCAAACGATGTAGAATTTAAAACTATATATCAGACAAATTTCGTATTCGTGGGATACGGCCATCATATCCACTCATGTTGCACACAGAACTGGGCAAAGTCCTCAGTGAAAAGGCTTTAATTTTCAAGCACAAATTCCTTTTTATTTTCGAAAGTGCTTCCCAAGCACAAAACCCTCAAAATGATTTGTGCTTGGCAAGCAAAGTGATTTGAACAGTGCTTGAAGCACATCAAAAGTGTTTGAGGTGCCTTCAGAAGTGCTTAAAACACTTCGAACGTGCTTGAAGCACCTCGAAAGTGTTTGAAGTTCTTTAAACGTGTCTAAAGCCCTTCAAATGTGTAATAAAATTATCAAAGTGTCAGAATCTACCACGTACTTTAGTCATCAGCTTAATGCTGTATAATACATATAAAAATATTAAAATAAAACAATATTTTTATTCGTTTATATTTATCTATGTTTATTACAAGAAGATCTTAAAATAATATTCTTTTAATACAAACTAAAAGCAACTGTAGATAAAAGTTAATTTTTAATTCTTTATAAACTATGATAATTAAGAAATAATAATAGTAAATGCTGTCCAAAAAAGATACATACATACAAATAAAATAAAAAAAGCGTGTTAAAAAGACAGAAATCTACTTCACTTAATACACATGCATGGAAGGGCTTCAAGCCATTTCAAAGTGCTCCAAGCTATTTTAAAGTGCTTGTACTGAGCTTTCAAAAGTGCTTTAAGTCTTTTCGAATTACTTCAAGCCCTTTTAAAGTGCTTCAAGCCCTTTTAAATTGCTTAAAGCTCACAAAAGTGCTTCAACCCCTTTAAAAGTAATTGAAGCTCATTGAAAGAATTTAAATTACTTTTTTAAACAAAATTACTTGACAAGCCCCAATTACAAGTTTATAAAAAGGCTTCGAGCATAGGGCTTTGAAGCCCTCAAAGTGCTTCAAGTACTTTTACAAGCACAAAGCACTAAAGCCCTGCCCAGCTCTGGTTGCACAAACTACTATTTTGTAACACTCATTTAAAACCTTTA